ATATATTTATATATTACTGTGGACAGTAATATTCACATAGCTCAGGGTGAGTTACTTGTCAGCAGTCAGACAAAGGCCCAAAGGATTATGGGAGCGTGCTAACCCCTGTCACTTCTAAGCAGATTCCCAACTGAAGGCCTATAATACATTATGGCATGCCTGCTTACTAGACTAAGGCTAAAAACAGGCAAAGACACTCAAGCCCGTAACACACATACAAGCTTTTTTCTAATCGTATGCATAAAGCTATTTATGTTCTCCTTTTCACTAACACTGCCTCCCAATTTAGCCACTAAAGAGGCTTTGAAATAATTCCACTTCCCCAGTGCGCAAATAACAGAGCACACTCAAACGCACACTATCCCAGCCCATGTTTTTACACGGTGGAGAGAGCAGCTGCAGAACACAAATATTTGTGGAGCCCCTTCATCATCTAACTGAGATGGCTGGACAACACTCATTGTTCATCAGGGTGAATGTGTAAGCAGCCACTTAGCCAGAGATAACACAAAGGCAAAATCATTTATCTTGGTTAATGAGAAGACTCTATTGGAAATAACAGTGCAATGAAACATCACACCTTCACCCCTACAAAGAACAAATGAGGCAGGCCGTTTCATGTTTGCTATGAATGTAGACCGCATAACAATTAAAAGCATTAAATTAATTTTAATTTCATTTTTAATTAAAGCATTCCTGTTCATTTCAATGGCAGTTGCTCAGCTGGTGCAGAAACACCCGCTCAGGGATAATTAAAAGTAACAAATCATGTACCTTCCATTGAAAAAAGTATACAACATTTTATCAAACGTTAACTGATAATCTTTTAAACAACTGAGAAGATAGTGATCAAACTACATTTGAAAACAGACTTTTCAAATCACCTTGCAACAGTAATATATTATATATAATATATTATTAACTCATGGATCACCCATTTAACAGTTCATCTATTGCCAAAATAAGTATTGCAATATTGCGTACTACTTCCTGTTTCCATTGAGAACCAACACATGTTGAATGATATTCATTAACATGAAGTTTTTCACCTGGAAAGCAATTTTTTCAGGATCCTTCGATGAATAAAAAAGAATACCATTTATTTGAAATGAAAAATCTTTTATAACATTATAAATGTCTTTACAGTCACTTTGGATCAATTTAATGCATCTGTGCTTTAAAAAAATCTTACTGATGACAAACTTTTGAACGTTAGTGTGTTTGTGTGTGTGTCTGTGTGTGTGTGTGTGTGTGTTGTTTAAGCTACTACAAGATCTTTCCTTCATCAGTGTCTCTTCATAAATCTTTTCTCTCTCCCCACTGTACGCTGGCTGCTTCCTGCTAACAATCTGTAATTGTAGGATCTGTGTTACTGTGAGACAGAGGAAATAAATCTTAATAAAGGGGGTTAGGAAGATTTTGCTGATTAATCCTGATGGGGTATCTCAGCTCTGTTGAGAATGATGGACCAAACATCCACATGCAGAGCGCTCAAAGGTCCCTGCTGTTCCTGTCAACACAACGCTGGTTTAATTCTATTAACTCTATCACACGTGATAAATCCTAGGCTTTCAGCAATAATCTCAAGATGTACTCATCTTTAAAGAGTCATTACTGAGCAAACAATATTAGTGCACATCGGCATTTCCCTTACAATAATAGAACTAGAAAACTTTCTCTTTACTGACTGCCATAATCCTGTTTATTTCTCCACATACTGTACATGATATCATTAGTAAGAAAAGTCCAGCTCAGCGCTACTGTCAGGAAATGAATTAGATATCATTATCTAGATATAGTTATATCATTTTAAAGAAATTTTAAAAAGCAAATCTAAAATCAATGGCATGATACAGTATTATTATCAATATTTTCCTTCTCACTGGTTAGCACTACAGATTACAGTAATCTTTCAGTTGACTTCTGAGTCTTTGAAGAATAAAATATTGTTTTCTAGCATGGTGGCATGCTATAAAAGCTGCTAAAAAGATTGTATGCTGTGTATGAATCACTAAGGAAAGCCGGGGTGGCTGCAGGCCAGAGGTTTTTTGTTTGGAGTTTCATTAGCAGATTGGCTGCTGGGAATGTGAATGATGGCAG